AAGCACCTTTTTGTATTGGAGACAACTAAAAGCAGATTTGTCTATAATCCATTGTTATATCAAAAACTAGATAAATCCTTAAGCTCTGTTACAATTTTCTGAAGTTTAGCTCAGGTGTAAGTTTAGGAATTAGAAAACAAGCAGCCAGCTGTACCAAAGGGCCATAAGAGCCCAGACTCCCATCCTTCTGCTAGGAAGAGCTCACCAGAAGGAACTGGGAAAACAAACCACATGTTCATTGTTTTCCAGATTCCACACATCATGCCTGTCTCACATAAGCCAGGTGGGATTCCTGAATGATAAGAAAACCTATTGGCACCAGTGTCATAAAATGTGGACTGTGAAACAACTGGGTACATGGCCTCTGTAAAGACAACTACAGAAAAGACAACTAGAGTAAGACATTTTTTAAGAACCATTGCTAATAACCTGTATGTAAAGGTTTAGGTACCCTAACATGTATTTCACTAGATATTACATTTCTTGGGCTCAATTTGATTTTAAAAAATAGTGATAATTTTTGAAGGCAGCTTTCTCCCTGTCACTACTGGTGCTTTTTTTTGTCCTAATTTAAAGCCAGAGATTTTCTGTAGGTAGGGTTATTTAAACTTCTACAGGCTGAAAAATATTTAATGCAGTTATGTTTGACCTTGCCTGAAGTTTGATCCTTCGATTTAGGGATTGACAGACAAATGTTATTTTTCATTTTCGCCTCCATCCCACATCTTCCTAAAATAATTATACCATCTTTGGTGAGAAAAGCAGCAATTTGTGTGCACCAGACATCACCCAAAGCCAACCAGCTCCCTGGGTTTGTCCACCCAGAGTCCATCTGAACAGCTCCAGAAGGGCAGCTCCTCTGAGCTGTGAAAGAGCCACACCCAGGAGCTGATTTTGGGATCCAGAGGGCTAAAAGGGGCGACATGAGGGGCACACCCCAAATCACAGGGTGTAACACAGTGAGCTGTGCTGGGTTCTGTCTCTGGTTTGTTTCCTTTGAGGCAGTTTCTTTTGCAGCTCTTTCAGGATTTAGTGAGAGTGGCTCCATTCACACATAAAAATGAAAGCACATAAATGAAACCTTTCACAGGAGTGCAGGTTCTCAGAACAGCAGCAATACCACTAGGAATTCCAGAAATTACATCTCTGTATACAACACAGAGCTATTTAATAAAAATTCTTCCTTCCTAATAGGGGATCTGCCATGCAACTTCTTTTTTAAAGATGCCCTTCTACAGTTTTATTAAAAATATCATTGTATTTACTAGTTGTCATCCGCAGTTATGATGATCTATCACTATAGAATCATACAAGACAAAAATTTCCTTCACAGTCCTCAAAAACTTTAGAAATTAATCACTTTTCAAAATATCCCCAAACTTTTCAGTTTTCAAAAATATACTGCCAATATTACAAGACAATTTGTTCTAAAAGCTAAGACCAATACACTAGTGTTGTGGTGTTCATTTACAAATAACTATGCTCTTCCTAAAAACAGAACATCAAGATGTGGACTCTTTAATAAGACTCAAAACCAGAAGACAATAAAAACCTAATAATTTCATTTCTGTAGTCAGGTGATATTAAATCAAAAATCGTTTGAATGAGGAATGAAGCAGACTTGTGGCTTTTGAAAACAGAGGATTATATGATTTTTTAAAATTTTAAAGTAAATCAGGTAGCATTGTCATGCAAAGTTCTTATTTTAAAGGACTGCTTTACACTAGTTTTATTATAAATATTGTTTTATACTAAAGTTCTATAGAACCTTTTATTCATACATTATGTAAGCACACACAATGTGAGAACACTTGTCCCAAGTTGTGTAAAAGGTCTTTCTACCTCACTGTCTCATCAATAACAAAAATCCAGTTAAAACTCTCTTCTACTGGACTAAAGTGAACAGTAACTCTCTTCCTTGGCTTTGCAACTAGGGGATTTTTAAATCTGTCCTGAGCACAAATTTGGATTGTATGTTGCTTTTTCTCCCATAAGAGTCAAGTACAACATGACCAGCAGTGTGCAATTTGTGCCGGAAAAACACCTCTGCAGACCAGACTGTTTCTTCAGGGCTTTTCTGGAGAACGTTCTCCAGCCTTTTACTCTGGTGCATTAACACTACTTTACTGTATCTACTCTCAAAAACTAGGTGTGTTTACCTTTTCCATGTTCTTCCCTATATATTGAGTTTATATTTTTATTGGCTTACCTTAACTACACAGGACAGAATCATCCAGACGGCTCGTAACAGAAACTCTGAAACAGACAGGGTAGAAAATACAAAGTGAAGAAAGCAAAGGTGATGTTCTGTGCCATTGGCAGCTGAAGACTTAAAATAACAGATGTACACTCCATATAAGAAATATCCTAAAATTCAGCACATCTTATCCAACGAAAACATTTGTGAACGCGCTCATGCTTCTTGTTTGCCAAAGATAAAGCAGCCCTAGTCACATCAAACTGTCCCTATCTCTGGTACTAGCAGTTTCTGGCCTAAAATCAATGGCACTTGTTTAGCTTTTAGATAAGTGTAAAGATTCTGAGTGTAGAAGCTGCACACTTGTTCTAAAGTTACCTTTCTCAAAGCCTAGGAAAGTATCATGTCCTTTTGGGGTGGGAGACCAACACTGGCCCCATAAGAGAGCAAAACAATTGTCCTTAAAAAGCTGCTTTGGAATCTTGGCTGACAGAAGATTCTGAAGCAATCTGCTGAAACAGATTGTTTCAGATTGCAGAAACAATCTGCTGGACAACATAATGCTTTGAAAAGTCTCAGATTTTAAAAGAATTGTAGGAAAGGCATTAAACAAAGGACTCTCCGCTGCTAGAACCCTCATATTTTCTTTGTCAAGAAGCAATGGGCCTTGGTTGGTTGTTTGGCTTTTCCTGATTTCCTAGAAGGTATTAGGTGGATTTTTTACTTCTTTTTTTTTTTTCCTCCACATTTCCAGCTCTGTTTGAACATGTAATTGAAAAAAAAAAAAAAAAAAAAAGGAAAGCTGAACAACACATTCCTGAGAAGAGCAAACTGATGACCCAGAAAGCATATGGGAAAGTCCCTCTGAGAGCCCTTTTTTATTCAACCTGCAATACTTCATGTTGATGTGATAACAGGGGTTCCAAGAAATTATTGCACTGCTCCAAATCAGCTTCAGTGATCATAATGCAGTAAAGATTACTCCCATCAAATACAGAGATATAGCAAATGTAATTGAAGGGTGAAGTTTTAAAGAATTTTGTCAGATGCTCCAAAGTGTCTGTTAGCTGCCTGTTGAATTTTGGATGAAATTTAAAAGACTGGAGCTGCTTGCCCAAGTACTGCATTGCTTGGGATCTGCATTTTTGCCCCCACTACAAGAGGTTGCCTTCAGTAATCTGAACTCTTTTGATGAAAACAGTCTTTGACAAGCTAGCCCGCACGTTCCAAAAAGAGGTGATTAAGTTCTCATATCACATAATTTGGTTAGCAGAGCCAACACAGATATATATTATCAGGATCCTTACTTTCCGTAATCAAAACTAATTACATATTATACTGTATTCTGTATTTGTCTTTTATAGGACATTATTACAGTAAGACCATAAATAATAACTGAAGATTTTTTCAACCACAAGTAAAATATTTCTAATAAACTAGAAAAAGAGATCTTAACTCATTTCAGCTCAAATTAAAAGAGGAAACCATAAACAGCAGCCCTCTGATTCAGACTGTAAAACTGTTTTCTGCTTACAGCATGTTTGTGGGAGGGATTAAATTCTCCTCCCTGGCCTTTCCATCCTAATACTGTTCAGTATTTAATCAGCATCCTCTCAGCTATTAGTACAGAGACATGAATTGAGGAAGGGATTGACAGAAGTCAGGTTTACTCAAATTTCACAGGATGAAACCAGGGGTGTTTCAGCGAGCCGAAAAGCAGTTTGTGCCCGTTCCAAACACCATGCTGCCACCTAGTCGACATCCACCTGAACTGTGCTCTCCTGGGTGCGCTGCAGCTACAGCCACCAAGTAAAAACCGAACCGTTCTCCAAAAAAAAAATCAGTGCAAGACTAAGCTACCAGAAGGTCTGAGAGCTCCATCGAAATTCCCTGTCCGGCAGCAGTGCCCTGCCAGCTCAAAGAAGGCACAGCTGCAGCTCTCAGCGCTGCAATGCTGCAAAAAGTGTCCCCACCAAGTAGGGGACAAGTCCAAAATAATATCAGCAATTAACAGATTAGAGCTGTGCCAGCAAGTTCAGGCACTACTGATATTTAACCTGTTTCCCACACTTTGGGGATATCTACTTTATATTTAGAAAGAACCGATTTCCCTGAAGGCTGGTTTGTTTCTGTTTTTTATCCTCTCTTCCTTTAAATGTGCCTGACAAGTATTACTTTTTCCTCCACAAACCATTCCTCAACACAACTTATACCAACATTGCTATTGGTGTGGTATTGGTATTTATGTGGTATCCCTCTGATAAAGCTTCAAAAGGAATTATATTGTTATCTCAGTGGGGCATAATGTATGAAAATTGTTTCTCTGCTGCCTGAGCATTATAGATAATGTCAATATTAGTGACAAAAAAAATCAGCTCTCATCACAGGAAAAATGTCCTAATTTTTTATGTCTGCATCTCACTCTAGGTTATGGTAAGGATGTCCCTGCAGCACCAGGTTTGGAACAGCTCCCACAGGAGGCCAAGAATGGCAGGAGAAGGCAAGGAGCAGCCCTGCACCAGAACACAACCTTTTATGTCTGCTCTCCATGCCACAGAATCCCCCAGAATCCCCAAAATCCCAGAACAGCAGAGAGCAGGCAGGAGTCCTCCTCCTTCTCTGGGTACCCAGCCTGATACACGATCAACAGGTACAGAAGGCAGGACGCATGAACTTTCTGTAAAAATGCATTAGAAGACCATAATTACATTACATTGTAATAAAAACTTGAATGCAAAAGGCAGAAGAAAAAAACCAGCAACACTTTGACGATGACACAAATATTCTGAACACGGTACTTTCAGAGCTCTCCTTCATGTTAGCCTTCACCACAAACATGAAATATACGAATGAGATCTTACTAGAAATCCTCAGTAAATGTGGATGTCTTCTGTATCTAATTCTCAAGTGAATGACAAATTAGAACTTCCCTAATTTCGCTGCTCAAAGCACTCTACTGCTGTTTCACATTTAGCTTGGGGTTTTTTTTCAGATTAAACAATTGCCCCAGCAGCACTGACAGAGCTGTCCCAGGTGGTCACTTATTCTCCTCACAGTCCTGTGGCAGGATGAAGTTGACCATATGCCCAGAGGCAAGCAACCTGGCTAAATTCAATCAGTATTTCCACACTCTGGGTGGGACAACACATAAACAATCCATATGAAAAGCAAGACACGAATCCCTGCACATTAAAATCAAGGAAAGACAAGGCTCTCTGCTCTCTCTGGGGCAGGCCCAAGATGTTACCAGCGCTGCGGCCGCCCAGGCCCAGCTCGAAAACTGCTTTTTTCAAAAAAGACCAAAAAAAAAAAAAAAAAACACAAACAAAAACACTACAAAAAAAAAAGACATAAAACTACTCCCACCTTGTTTTCCCCAGCTCCAGGGGGGAGGCTGTTCTCCAGCAGCACCGAGCCCTTGCCCCTCACTGCGGGCAGCAGCCGCGGCTCCACGGAACCTCCCCGGCAGCGGCCGCGCTGCCCTCAGGGCCCGGCGGGGCAGGGGCAGCGCGGCTCCGTGTAACACCGATTTCACCTTGTTCCAGGACACTTAGAGCAGCACGCCTCACCCTACCCAGTCCAGGTGCAAATCTCCCCGGAAAGAGCCGTAATTCCAAACCCCCGCCCCTTTCCCAAGCCCGGTGCCCGCCGCGCTTGGTGCCCCGAGGGAGCGCAGCAGCGGGACGGGCACGGCGAGGGGCTCGGGCTGGGCACGCTCACAAAGCATCAAAGTACGAAAACGCAGTTAAAATACCCCAAATCCTCCACTCTACCCGCTGCTGACACCACGTCAATGCCTTTTAAAATGTACGGAAGCCAGGAGACCACTTGGTTTTCAAGACATACCAGACACTTTTTTCTCATCTCTCTCGTCCCACTACACAGTTGTGAGCAGATGAGTATTTTGCCGCAAGTTTGCTTTACTTTTTCCCAGACATTTGTTGTTTGGGTTTGTTTTGGGGTTCAGGCTTTTTTTGATATACTAAATTAGATTTGCCTATTTGACTTTGTTTAAGCCATGACAATGTTGTTCAATTTTTTGGCTGGTTAAAATGCACACAGCACTAAGGAGAAGATGATTTGAGTTTTGGGCTGAAACCAGCCCAACTTTGCTGGAACACACATGGTAAAGAAAATGCTTCGTAACAAAATCAACATTTCCAAAGCACTCAAGCTGTAAAAGACATATTTTTACCTGAAAGAACATTATTAAAATGAGAAGCAGGATGATGATGATGCTCAGAACTGTACTCTTACTCAGTCCGAATAATTTGTCATTAAAGCTTTTTTGTCTTGGTTGGGCAGTGTCATCAACACAGAATACCAAAGGAGTATTCTCAGAATGGGTTGTCAAACTCTGCTTTGCAACATTCACAGAAAATGCTAAGAATTAAAACTGAAATTTTTACATCCAGCTTTTTTTAAATAACACTATATAATGAAACACCACAATAGTTTAAAGTTTCATTTAGAACAATTTCAAAATTGCATGCTGCTAGTTGTTACCATAGTGTCAGTTTATGACTTTACCAACTGAATAGTTCTCAAACTATGCAATTGAGAATAACTTAACATTCATTATTAAAATTATCAACATATCATTAATAAATCAACACTGAACAGCTGCATGGAAGAAGGCCTAGACATAGGAGGAAGAAAGGGGGTACAAAGTCATACAAATCAGGCAAGGCATAAGAGAAAAAGTATAATGTGAAAATAAGAGCTATAATCAAAAGTTATGCAGGGACTTATTGATTGAGGATTTCTGTTTTAACATGGAATGCAAGTGAAGTTATCTAATAACTGTTTGTTAGGATTCATCAATTTTGCCTGACCAAATTTGAAAGAGGCAAAAATAAGTGGGATAAAGAACATGACAAATAAATAGGTTTCCAGCAATTATTTAATTTCACGGACAGTAGGGAATAGAGCTGACTTGCAAAAATACATATGCTGTTTTAAAGAAAAAAAAACCACAAATTTGAAGGCAATATAGGAAACCTTTTTACTTCTTTTCCTCTCTGTGCTAAAATTCA